TAAGCAAATCGAAATAAAGACGAATTACATTTTCTTTCGAATTTTTTCTAATGTTTCTTTATATTCCGAAACATGAGGATGATTTGAGGGTAATTTTTCTTGAGCGATTTCTACGGCTTGTTGAACATTTTGCATTGCCATATTATATTGTCGAGTAGATAAATATAATTTCGCCAAATTGTGATATGCTACAGCTAAATCAGGATGACTTTTTGATAGTTTCTGTTCCCGTATTTTTAATCCTTTTTGATAATATGTCAATGCCATTGTGTAATTTTTCATTTGACGATAAGTTTCACCCAAATTGATATATGTCGTTGCACATTGGAGAGGATTACATTGAACATTTTCTTGAAAATTTAATGCTTTTCGATGAAATGTAAGTGCCTTCTCATAATCACCCATTAAACGATGAACATCACCAATATTACTGTATGATATACCAAAATATGGATGATTGTCAGGTAGTGTTTTTTTATCTATTGCGAGCCGCTTTTCAAAATACTCAAGTGCTTTTGAGTATTCTTTCATACTGCGATAAACTCTTCCTAACCTACTGTACGTAAAAGAAAAAGCTCGATTACCTTCTTCAAAAGCTTTTCGCTGAATTTGATAAGCATTTTTAAGGGCTTTAAGAGCTGTTGTGTAATCACCCATTTTTTCGTAATATGCTGCAAAACTCAAATGATTTCCAGCCAAATGAGGATGAGTCGAAGGCAGAGCTTTTTTCAAGATTTGATGTGATTTTTCGTAGAATTCAAGTGCTTTCGAGTAGTCACCCATGTTATTATACACTTGACCGATTGTGTCGTAGGAAGTAGCCAAATCGGGATGATTCGAAGGCAGAGCTTTTTTTCTTATTTCAAGAGATTTTTCGTAAAATTCAAGTGCTTTTGAGTAGTCACCCATGTCGTTGTACACTCCACCGATGTTGTTGTACGAAGAAGCCAATGAGGGATGATTCGAAGGCAGAGCTTTTTTTGTGATTTCTAGATCTTTTTCGTAAAATTCAAGTGCTTTCGAGTAGTCGCCCATGTCGTTATACACTTGAGCAACATTATTGTACATAGTAGCTAATGAAGGATGATCTTTGGGGAGACTTTTTCGGTAGATTTTCAGAGATTGTTCGTAAAATGCAACTGCTTTTGCGTATTGTCCTTGGTCGTTTTTCAACCATCCAAGCTGGTGATAGATGTATGCTCTATCACTATCGTTCGATGCCTGTTCTAGTAGTGCCATATATAGCTCTTTGGCCTTGTCGAATTGACCTATTTTGAGTAACAATTGACCCATTCGACGCCATCCGGTGCCGCTGACCTCTTTTCGTATAAAGTCATTTAATTCTCGAAGTTGTGGATCATCATCTGACGTAAGTTTAAGATCGACCTGATAAAGTGCATGATTGTTGTCAATTTTTCGAACTTTACTAATTCAAAATACCGTGTGCATGGAGAAGAGAATTTCTTCCTCATCCTTGAAGTAACTTTCCTCTCGAATGGAGGCGAATGGAGTTGATGAGATTGTAGGATCAATAGTTATGTAGAATAGAATTCCGACCATATCGGTCATTTTTAAAGCTCCCTTGGCAAAAACGAGGGAGACATTTGGATTTCTGCTAGTGGATAAAAAGTTGTTAAAAGAAATAAGTCCACCTTTGTTTTCTGCGAGCTTTTCAAAATCAGCTTTCGATAGGCCTTGTCCTCGAAAGACCGTAAAAATCTTGTTATGGTATTGACTGACCTGATTCTTGTACAAGGTTTCTATTTGACGATGTACATCACACAGGGAAAATCCCATTCGGATTATAATATCGCCATTGAGTGTTCTTAAGGCGCCATTAAGCATTTTATAAGTGAAGCATTGGCGTGTATACCACCAAAGAGCTTTTGTTGCGTGATAAGTATTTTCAAAATCTGCAATATTCTTCATCTCCTGCTCCTGGGTATTGTCTTTGTATTCGTTTCGGCAAAATGTGATCAAGTCTTCAAAGTCTTGATGACAATGTGCTATGTCGAGGAGTATTTCCTTGAATATTTGGGAATACATGAACGAAGGTTCTAGCTGATCTAGATTCTTACTAGAACCTCGTGCATTCACACTAACAATGCTTACCGACATATGATCTTGATTGCATTGTTTAATAGCTGTTGCCAATTTTTTACAAATATGTTTGATTGATGTGTGAACGCCTTTGATTTTTGCCCAATTTTGGGCCCAATCTTGATACCGTTCTTTCTTACGACAAAAAATGTATATGGCATTTAATTTTGCCATATCATGAATGTCTGGTACCATATGTTGTCCAAGTGCACCTGAGGAGATAACAAATGATATCTCTTCAGGATTTTCATTCAGCTGTTGAATACATTCTTCAGCTGTTGTACACGGATTGACTTGATTCACGACACCACGCAATTGATCCATTGTATTTTGGCAATCTTTATTGGCCATATCCATATTTCCATCAACCCAAATAACCATGTAGTTTTCAGGAAGGCGTCGTCTTGATGGTCGACTCATTTTTGATGTAATGTTTCGTGTGCGATAGGTAGTTGTGTATTGTCAATAGAAAATGGCTGTTTGGACAGAGTTTACTTTTTGTATTTATACATTTGATGCACGTTGTCTTTTTTCTAGATTTTTCTCTGACGTCAAATATGAATATTTTGTTTTTTCGTTGACACTCGATAATAAAATATGCCTATTAGTAATTGAAGATATGCTTATCAAAAATAAATTAAAGGGAAAAAACCAATAACATCATTGATCGTATGATAATTTTTTCCCACTTTCATTTATGTGCCATGTGAAGCGTGACTTGAGTTTCATTGCATTAGATAACTTGTCTTATACGTTGTATAATTTTGTTTCATTCTCTCCAACAAGAACGAAAACGACAGCAAGGACAGCGTTAGTGTGATTTTTTTCCTCATTATGCATATGATTGATATGCTGATAATGTGAACGAAACAAGAAAAAATATAATTTCAATTTTAATTGAAGCAATAGTTAAATAACGATTTCTACTGGCCAAATATACTGTTATTGAAATTTGAAAATTATGAAACATCGAAGTAATTATCACCAATTTAAAATGAATGGAACACTTAAATCTAGGCGTTACATATTAGTATAACAATAAACAAGCAAAAGTTTTATATCAGTTATTATCCAAATTTCATCTAGAAACACCCAAAAACTTAAGTTTTGCCATGTGTAGAATGAATAGATCATCACTCACAATCTTGCTAGAGTAATTTTTGATTTTTATTCATTCGTATTATATGTATAATAAAAAGAAATTTTGTTTTCTTGTGTTATATTAACTGCTCTTCTTTTATTAATTTCTACGATTCATCAAGAAATCATATTCAAATTTTGTTTTATTTTTTATATTTAAAGCTCACACAACGTAAGCGTGTGTGAAAATGACAACAACAAAAAACCTTCTGTTCTATACAAACATGTTTCCATATAGTTGGCAAATAATGAGAAGAATCCTTCATAGTTTCTTAGCTAAAACTGATGAAGATATTGAAGACATGAACCTTTCTTACTTTCGTAATTCAAAAGTAAAAAAAAACATGATAATTGAATCGTATGCTTGATGTATTTGTTTGAATAAAGAAAGATGATATCATCAATGCTTAACGTGATCATTATATTTTTTTAACGTACATAAATTTGTATTACAAGTATATAACTAAAAAATTACGTTTTCGGTAACTGAGAAACGCTCTTGTTATAATATTTTTCTTTTATTAACACTCATTAGTAAGCTCATATCAGAACTGATAAAGAAATTGCCAACAGTGAACAAATAGTAACATTACACTGCTATTTTCTACACAGAGTATTGAAAAAATGTAATACAAGTTTTAAATGTAAAAATGATACAGATAATATCAATACACTTGTGATATCGCGACATGCTACTTTTTCATATATTTCTAAGTTTTTTATTCATTTGACTGATACACATTTTGATTCCTAACCAACAATAACTGATTAAAAGAAATAAAAACAACAAAAAATTGTGTTACTATGCACAACGAGTAAATAAATTCATATAAACATAACCATGAGAACTAATAACTGGCCATTTAAAACCTACTCAAGATTTTACTATCTTCAATAAAACAATAGTATATCAAAAAATTTTAAAGAAATGCAGTTGAATTTAATTTTTGTTGCTTTAGTTCTTTTCATCAGTTATTGTTTGTTATGAATAAATGTTAACTCATGTTACAGATGATGTCTTCTTTGCTAATCATGATCGTACTCAAAAAGAACCAAAATTTCAGTTATATATGTAAAATTAAATGATACTGCATTTCTTTAAAATTTTCTGATGTACTATTGTTTTATTCAAGTTTACTTATTTCCTTATTCAATAACTATTGTAAATACATGTAAGTAACTGCAGCATATTTTTATTGATACCAGTTATATGGCATCTGATTTTATTGAAATAATTACAATCGAATTCAACAATAAATGAATAAAATGACAGTTTTATTACTTTTCTCTTTCTCAATTGTTTCATGCTATGGATATTTAATTATATCTAATCTTGTCATTTTCAGTCGTGATAACTGTGAAAAATTTTATTTGTTCAACATTCTACATTGAGATTTTGATTTGTTTCTCAATAAAAACCATCTGTTAATTTGAAAGAATATTAACATACTTTCAACTTTATGAGAATAATCAAAAATACTGATGAAAATGAAATTTGGTTATCTATTTGATGAATAAAATATTTTATTGTACAAGAATGTTTTCGCAGTTGCGTTAAAAACAGGTTTTTTTCCGTGGTATCCAAATCTTTTTTTACACAAGTATGTTTCTAATAGAATTCTGTAACCATTGATCCTCTTTTTAGTGAAATAAACATGACAACAGTTCAATCATTTTCTATTTGACAACAACATTCAGCAATGACATACAGTTTTTTTACTCAATTTTTATAATCACTTCGAGTATGATTTTTCTGAAAGTACGTATCAAGAATAAACATTATAGTGCAAGTGAAGCGTTTGGTGTATTTGTTTTTGAATACCACCAGATGCACATGAGGATTCTGAGAGTGCTAAATGATAGTGTGAGTCTAATGACTTCGATCGATTCGTGTTATTTTCAAACCCTCACCTCACGTTCCGTGCGCAACTTTCGCATATTTTCCTTGTCAGTTGAGTCCATCAAGTTCAACAGTTTTGGATCCGAACCTAATCCTTATTCATAATATCGTCAATAACCTGCATATTTTTCATGACTATCTCGTCAGTGATCATATAAGAATGTGGACATAACTGAGTATTACTTTTAGAGTAACAACTATGGGGTTAGACCCTGACTCGCCGGGCTCTATTAGTCAATGAATGCTGTGCTCATCATTGTAGACCGATCCATCATCATTATCTGTAGAATATTTAGTTAATTACTCAATAGATGCAATACTCACTTCAATCAATCTTTCACTACTGTCAATAAGTGCTTGTGCCTAGTGAATGTAATGCTCATCGCCCAAAACGAGATCGCCGAAATAGATATCATCGATATAAAGATCGTCAGAATAAAGATCGCCGAATTTTTTTCGATGATCTTTATCAGATATATTCTTTCCGCAATCATTAGTTTCGTTCACATATTCGATATGAATCGTATACAGAGAGCGGCTTTTTACCTATGTCATAAACACCATGAATTGCAATCGAGTTTTGCAATAGATTCCCAGTTTGTTTTAGTTTCTGACCTAATTCCTGAGTAAGCTAGTTCCTGACTTAAGTCAATTCTTAACTTAAGTTAGTTCCTAATTCAAACTAGGCACTTTGACTTAGCAATTGTGTACCTTATCGTTGAAAAAAAGCATTGTCAATGACTACATCGTCGAAATCTGGGGTAGGATTCATCCTATAACTCCTATATTACCTATATTTTGTCAAAAACTCTAGCAATATTTCACAAGATTTGACTGTGCCCTGAGGGGAAGTACAGGAGTCTCCGGAGCGCTACCCCCCGTCCCTCCCCCCGATCATCACTTTTCACGAAAAACTCAGGAGATGAGAATAGATGTTTCTTGGAGGTAAAGTATATATATTTGAGGTACGGCTCGACGTACAATACCTAAATTTCGGTTAGTTTTTTAGTGAAAAAAATGATAGATTGGCGATTGCCACATTGTCGAAATCATATTTCGACGATGTATCTTTCAGCGAAGAACATACTTACCGAATGAGTGAACGAAAATAATGATTGCGGAAAGAATGTATCTGATAAAGATCATCGAAAAAAATTCGGCGATCTCACTTTTCGATGATCTCATTTTCGGCGATGAGGATTACATTCTTATCAACCGAAGAAAATTTCCAGAGAAAAATACACAATGCAAGAAGAATTTGAAAGAAGGAAATCGATCTGCTTTCTCCTCTAATTGTATGCACTACATATACACACTGTAAAGTATGGAACATATGCATTGTGCCAACATGTTTAGTGTAGTTTATTTTGCATTAATTTTTATAGAGATAACTCATGAAAATTTGTCATTAAATTTTCTACACTTAACAAAATAAACATTCCTATTCGATAAATTCTCATTGATACCACAGAGGATCAAATGAAAAAATGCACGTAACATTGTTGGTTTTCAGTCTTTTAATTCAAATCCGCTTCTTCATTTCAACGAGTGATTATCTGTTAGCTATTTCGAATTCTTTTGAACAATTTTTCAATATTAAGAGTATCAATCTACGCAACTATTAGCTTGATCGCGGTGATAAATATATTATTCATAGAGCATTTATTTCATTTTTATAATGACAAAATATAGTCTTTAGCATATCTTTCTGTTTAATCAAGAAGGATTTTTTATTTGCATTCTTATAGAAAATTTAATGATACATGTTTTAATAACACCTTCAAACATTTGTCATGTTTCTATCTAGAAACATATATATACAAAAATTAACTGTTGTAAACATATGAGAACATTCGATTTATCATAGTTTATCTCTATGTGAATAAGTACTAATGAAAACACAATTATGATTGACAATTGATAAATGATAAAGCAGTCGAGCGAAAGAATGTATTTTTGCTTGTATGTTGTTGTTTATCGAAGAAACAAATCTAGTATTATTATTTTCATTGACACTAAAAATAGTAGACAAGTTAATCAGTGCAAGGTTCACAACTAGAAATAAGTGTAAGCATTTTGAGCTCTGGTTCCAATGACTGAAAGTACGAGAAAAAAATTTGTTTGAATCAGAAAACTAAAAGTATTTCTTCCAATGATTAGAAAAAGTACAGAATCTTCTATGCTCAGATTATAAATGTTATAGCAACATGTAATGCAAAATTAATAGCATAAATGTTGACTGCTTTTTCCTTTTCAACAGAAGGATGTTGAATGAAAACATTTTTTCCAGAAGATAGAGAATGTCTTTCTGTCTTCAATCGTACGTTCATAAACAAAATGACACAACAGAACAGATAATCACTTGTTTGACAAATCTGCA